GGGAGAACATGCAAACTCCACGCAGAAAGATCCCGGGTGTCCTCACTGGGATCTTCTAGCTGTGAGGCAATGGTGCTAACCACTGCACCACCTTGCAGCCCATTGGTACACCATATTATAGTTATATACTGGTGGGTGACAAATTAAAGGAAAATTCAACATTACGTGTCATAGCAAGGTGTTGTACCACGGCAACAGCTCAAGTGCACCTTAGCAATGATTCTCCAAGTCTGTGGACTTCTACAGGAGCGATGAACAGCATTCCTACTGAACGTACTCCCTCATTTGGTGTTTGATGATGGTAACACGTCCTTCTAAAGTCTCTGAAGACAGAAAGTTAACAACATGCAAAAATGCATGGTGAAGTGACAAGAATCACAGAAGACTTAAGTACAAACACGTTAAGAAAACCCCTATGAACTGGGTTGCCAAGGTAAAGCATTGCTAGATTAAAAAAGATTCAACTATGAAAGCAAACAGCAGAGAAAACCAACTAAAGTCAAGCAACAGATCAACAGAAACTAGCAGGATGTGGCAGGAATGGGCGACTGAGAAGAGTAAATGTGATGATGAGTGAACTGACCGAGAGGCAGGAAGTGGAGCTAAACCAGAGCTTTAGAAACAAATGGTACAATTTTAAGTTTAGCTCTAGATTTCCCTTCTAACTGCAGCAAATGAGCAAGAATCGGAGTGATGTTTTGTCTGTGGCAGCTGCATTGTGAACTAAATGTAGTCAAGACAGCATTGAGAGGGATTTATAGTCATCCAGCTGTGAGCTTATAAAAGCATTGGAGACCATTTTAACATGGAAATGACCTACAAAATATAGAATATAAAAACTTCACGTACTTGCATATCCATTTATATTATTGCTATTTCAAATGGATGCAGAAATTATATGCTCGAGAACCACAAAGCTGGAGATCAGGTCAGTGTAAATTAATTAGGAATCACACACACACACTGTCATACTATTACAATGATTTCCTCTCCATTCAAGCTGTCTTCTTTGTTGGTGTCCAGTTTTTATCTTGATAGTCCAGGCAACACCTTGCACTGGACTCCAACCACAAACTGTCCTCTGTTACTGATTAAAAGCAAGACAACGTAAATATTTCCTCTTAAAAATTTAATTACGCATGTATGGCTTTGATTCCACAGATGTCGAAACACGGTGGAATGTGGTTGCAGGATTTTTGACAGAAAACGTTCCCCAGTCGTTTTCTGTGAAATGTCATGCTCTGACATAGCCGGAGGAACCTCTACGTCATGTGCTTTTGAGTAGCAAACTTTATTCCAGCAGTAGCTCACGTACAACGCAACCCACGTGTTTGCACAAGCTTGCCAAATGTTTGCTTAAAATCAGATATAAGATAACTTTGCGAGTAAGCACACAGGTCTGGTTGGCTGCCGTTGCCACTGCTTGTTGTAATTATATCCATCTTGTCTTCTCCTGCCCTCAGAGTAGAACAATACAGCTGAGACAGGCCGTCGTTGGAGCAGCTTGAGGAATGAAGACATACCAGTCAGGATAATGACAGAGAAGAAGAAGCGGGAGAGATAAACCACACAGGGGATATCCACTGTGACCCGACGACTCAACACAATAAGCCCTCCTGCCTCTGCTATGGAGCAGGAAGAAACAGCAGCACGAGAGGATGCGGACTCACCGCTCATGTACAGGATAGAGCGTCCAGTCTACGATGAAGCTTTCATCAAGACGCATTTTGTCAACCGCAAAGAAAACGCCACCACCACCGTCCGGCAGAGGCTGGCGGAGAAGTTTCAGTAAGTCTGGAGGGGGTGTTTCTTCTGGCTTGTCCTGCTGAAATGCTGTTGACCAAATAATTTAATCCAAGTACAAAAAAAACAAAAAAAACAAAGAAAGTATTTGTGCAGGGCTTAGTTTGGTACGTTTTTTATATATCCCTTATAAATCTTAATTAAGAAGAAAAAAAATATCTAAATGTACGAATTGATGAGTAACAAAGCAAAATAAAAATGTGGTTATGATGAATTGACCAACTCTTTCACCAACAGCTGGAATTACGGACTAACGACTGAAGCCATCTGTTGAACAAAAATACCAAGCACTTTAAAGACGTTGAAGTTGTGAATATTTTCCGTTGGACATTATATAGACTAACTGATCAACTCGTCAGCAGCAAAGACATTTTAAGTAACAATGAAAATATGGATCTTTTCATCAGACTTGGTGTAACTACATCAGATTTTGATCAGAATTTCAAGTTCCTTGTATTTTTAGAGTTGCAAATTCATTATTTCATCCATCCATCCATTATCTATACACCGCTTAATCCTCACTAGGGTCTCAGGGGGCTGGAGTCTACATTATTTCATTGAATCTTTAGTTTTTTGTCATTGAACTGATCAATCATTTAGTCCATAAAATGTCAGAACATGTAAAAACCATAGACTGTATAAAAGATGGACGTAGCAACCGGCCCTGAAAAATGAAGCCAACCCGGAAGTGTCAGAAACGTACATCCGCTAGCTGCTGGCTCCAAAAAGCCCTGGCTCCCA